AAGGGAGTTAGGTGTTCAGGTGCCAGTGAATTTCAGTAGGATTTGAGCCCCTAGTCCCTTAGTGTCTAATGAAAATCCCAGCCTTTGTGCTTATTTTATCTGGGATATCACACCAAAGGTCTCAACCATTTATCACCAATGCTTTGTACTTCTATACAAGGATCACAAAGTATTATTGTTAATAAATGTATCCTTATTAATTATAAATCAGACGTTGTTCTCTGTATGTATCCTGACATTTCAAAAAACAATATCTTTCTCAGAGCAGAGAGGAAGTTTAACCCCTTCTTCTCCCCCCCTTCCCCCCCCAAGTTTTCCAAGAGGAATAAGAGGCAGTTTGGAGGGACAGTTAGAAGTTGTCCCTTCTCTCCAGACCTCCAAGAATCAGTGACTAGGAATGCTGTTTCTTGAAAGAGAAAGGTCTTTGCTGTCCAGATTGCTATGATGCTCTTTATGGTCTTGTGTTTCTAGCTTCTAACAACCTTAGTCTAAGTACATGAGTGTAAACAATGGAGGATTTGAGGTTGGGAGGTGGGGGCTTTAGTCTCCCAATAACAAATAAATAAGTTATGGATTGCATTCATAAACACTGAGTTTGGAACAGAAGCTTGTTTATTTCACTTAATTAAAAGTGGACAAACCACCATAGTACAAAACTGCTCATTAAACCTATAGTCAACAGCTGTTATTTTATTATTGTTTAACTCTACCTCCCTAAATTAAAAAAAATGGTCTATGCTCTTGTAGGAAGATTTAGGCTGGAGTAATTAGGTTCTAGGAATACATTCTTATGCCCAGATCCTCCAGTAATTTATGCATGTGCTTAACTTGACTCCTGGGACTACTCACAGTAGTCAATTGAAAACCTGCATAAATGTTTGCAGGATTGAGGCCCCCTGGGCTTGATGTTTTTGAAGTGCCAAACACCCACGGTTCCAGATGAAACCACTGGCAGCTCTGGGTGCTCAAAACCACTGAAAATTTAGCCCTACTTACATATAAATATATTTATTTTCACCATTTTTGATGTTCTGATCTTGTAAACAGCTGTAAAATAAATGCTCGTGCAGCAGAATCTTTATAATCCGGAAGCTCCAGACAGCCTATCATCCTGATTTAGTACAGCTTCCTAATCAAGAGAGAGTACCATTTTGTACTTGCAGTGATTGTCCAGCTTGTGTCAAACCTGTTGGCTTACTCAAGAATTAGGAGTTACGTTGAGCTGCCAATGCCAAGTGGCGTAAAAGGAGTTAAATTGCAACTGAGCTAGAGAAGTGTAAGGCCACAACATTTCTATCAGAAGCCTGAAGAGAACTAACTTTGAAGAATGTTTGAAAAGGCCAGGGCAGGGATGGCTGTTAAGGCAGTTTGTGTTGTTAAACCAACAGCAGAGGTCTTTGGAGGGGAAACACAGTCCAGCCCCTGAGCATCAGAGGAACATGAAATCCTTATACTCTAGAAGAATCACTTCATCATCTGCAGGCAGCCAATTAAGCAGCAGTCACTGCCAGCTCAGTTTAATTGGGTTCCCTGTTAAACATCCCAATTAAGATGAATTCAAGATTAGGACTGTCCCAATTAATGGGAGTAACAAAAAGAAACGCGGACAAAATATTGGGTACACTCTGTGTCCCTTAATGAGAGAGGGCAGCTGTTAATGAGAGAGTGGAGGAGAATGAAAAAAAACAAAACACTGCTGTTTATTAAGAGCTAAATTCAATTCAAATTGCTGGCTTTTTCCAGGACTCCACCCATAGAGCTCTGTACCAGGACACTGAGCACAACACACACATCCGAGGAAACACAAGATAGCAGCATTGCATCATGAGAACTGGCATCAGCTCATTAATCTCAAGAGAAGAATGTTGTCATAATAAACATGTGACACACCACACCATGTGTGGTAAGAGATTGCAATTTCTTTCCTGGCTCCACTCACTTTACCCGGGCCAGCATTACAATGGGTATATTCATATCAGGAGTTAGTATCCACTGTCTCCAAGTACTTACTGTTACAGCTGTAGCCAGCTCTCAGGAATGGTTAATCTTTTGGTGTGCATCATATATTGTACATCATACTCCTTCCCCTCCTCTGAAATTGCAGGTTTCACTAAAGATTAAAAAAAAAAAAAAAGTACCATGAACAATAAAATAAAATATGGCCACAGTTTTTCTTCTGTAAATGTAGTCTGGCTGGAGGCTGATGTGCTGAGTTCTGGTCATTAACACAGTAAGGGCTTGATTCACAAAGTACTTCAGTTTCAGAGGGGTAGCTGTGTTAGTCTGTAAAACTAGTCAGCAAAAACAATGAGGAGTCCTTGTGGCACCTTAGAGACTAACAAATAAATTTGTTAGTCTCTAAGGTGCCACAAGGACTCCTCGTTGTTTTTACAAAGTACTTAGGTGCCTAACTGCTTCTTTAGGCACCTAAGGCCAACATTAGGGGCATTAGTAGCACCCTCAGAACTGCCATTGAGCTACCACCCTATCCTTTAGGCACCTATGTTTGGGCCAGCGGCATGTGCAAAGCCACTTAAGTCCTGATGCTGCTCCATAGCTCATGAGCTGCTTGCAGCTGTAGCTCAGGATTCTCAAACGAGGCATTCCCCTACCTGTTTTACCACTGGGGCTGACCCAGGAGGCTTTCTTAGAGCTCACCTACTGCATTGGGCCTCCCACAAAAGACAGCCAGGAGTGAGAGACAGAGCGAGATGGTGTGTGTGTCTAGAATAGGCAGTGGTTAGGGCATGTAGCTGAGGAGCTGTATTCAAATCCTGGCTCTGCCTGATTTGGAGCAGGGACTTGAACACAGCTCTCCCAGGTCAGTAGTCTAATCACTAGGATAGTAGGTACTTTAGACTGGGTATAAATAAGGAATGTTGGAAACCTGGGTTCAAGTTCCTGCTCCACATCCACTTTAATCCCATCATTGCACCAGCCCTTCAGTCACCATAGAGACTTGCAGGGTAGACATGAATTTCTAATGTAAAAATGCTTTTGTGGGGGGCTCCTTCCTCCACCATATAGAAGCAAAAGAAGGCACAAGCCCAATTGTTTTCCTTTGCAGGTCACCTGTAGAGGAGTTTCCCTAAATGCCTCACCTTGGGGTCCCAATCCTGGCTGCAGAAGCAAGAGGAAGAGAGTCATGTGTAGCTCACCAAAAATGGAGCAATAGGGTCTGACGTATACTCAAATGCACACACTACTTGTCATTTGCACTTCTACTCTCCCCTGCCCTGCCTTTACCCATACTGTTCCCTCTGCCCATGGAGACTGACTTCTGGCATAGAGCAAAGTTCTTTACTTTTATTTTTTTAATGAAAGCCTATCAGCCCTGAGGGGACTGCAGGGCTAATCAGCAGTGCCTTCCACACAGGATGCAAATGAGTGTCCATAATAATACCTTATTTGTCCACAGCACCTTCCGTCTGAGGAGCTCAAAAGTGCTTTACAAAAAAATGAATTAATCTGCACAACACACTGAGAAGTAGGTCAATATTAACCCCGTTTAACAGATGGGGAAACTGAGAGCCAGAGTTGAAGTGAGCTTCCCAAGGCCACATAGTGTCAGACCCTAGCTCCCAAGTCTGTGTTTTAACCACTGGGCCATGCTGTATCTTTAGGGAGGTCTAGAAAGACTATACTTAAATGCAGCTTCTGTAAAGCAAGGACTGGCTGGGTAAATGGTCATTTAAGGAAAAGACTTCAGTGGGAGTTTGTGCTCAATATAAAGCTTCCAACAGTTTCCCTGGAGGGTTCTTTCATGTGGTGGCGTCTTGAACCATGCTCTGAAATTGGCTTGCTAACACAGCAATCACAAAGAAAGGATGGGGATGAGAAACAGTGCGCAATGAGATCTTGGATGTGTGCAGGACTCTTTGGACAGGTAAGGGGCTTCAGGGAGCTTGACCTGATCCAGCAGAGTACAGGAACTAGGCTGAACAGGCTGCCTGATCAATGACTGGTGCAGCGTGAGAGAGGAGCAGAGGGCAGTGTACACTGTGGAGGCTATTACACTGGTGCTTGCTGCCGACACTTGCACTGTATTGATGGAGATTGGCACAGTGGCAGATGCCATGGCATTAGCCTTGCTCAGGCCAAGTGCAATCCAAATGTCTGCGTGAATTGTTGGGAGCAATTTTGTTTGTGAAGGCATGGTGTGCTACAGGAGCGCTGGGGGATTCAAAGAGGGGCAAGGATGCCAAATTTCTATAGGGTAGACAAAGCTTGAGCAGGCAGGATCTTCTGATAAACCCAGAGTCCTCCTTTGAAAGCTTGGTGTTAAGTCTTGGGTCAAGTGCAGGGAACACATTTCTATGTCAGGTTAACCACTGAGACTTGGAAGCACATTTATCAAAGCAGACATTTTCAAAAGCGTTCTCTTCTAATACTGGATGCCTAACCTGTGACACCCAGTGCCTGAGTTTCAGAGGTGCTGAGCTCCTCCATTGACTTGCAGTTGTTAGGGTCCAGCACCTCTGAAAATCATCTTCTGGGTGTCTTGAGCTGGGCACTCAAAATCCAAGGTAATTTTGGGAAATCTGGGTCTACACATCTCAGCTGCATGATGTGACTCCGTTTAATCTCATCCCTCCCCACAGCCTCCAAATGATCACTCCCACCACTGCCTGCCTCCCACCCACCAGCTCATTGATTCCTGACTAGTTCATCTCCTTTTCACACACACCCTTACTTCACTGCCCAGCCCTGCTCTCCCACCCCCAGTCCCACAATGCCCTGTGTCCAGCAGCTGGTTGCTATGTGGCATGCAGTCTCTGGTGCTGTCTGAACTGTGCCTGGTATCGGAAGCTCTCCCTGCACTTGGTGCACCGGAAGGGTTTCTCTCCCCGGTGGATGCTTTGGTGGCTGCGAAGGGTGGCGTTCCGACTGAATGCCTTCCCACACTCGGCACAGCTGTAGTGCTTCTCCCCAGCATGGCTCCTCTGGTGACTGTGGAGGTTGGAGCGCTGGATGAAGTGCTGCCCACAGTCAGCGCACTGCTAGGGTCTCTCCCCAGTATGGGTTCTCCGATGCTTGACGAGGTGCGAGCTCATCCCAAAGTTCTTCCCGCAGACGGTGCAGGGGTAGGATCTCTCCCCTGTGTGGGTCCTGCGGTGCTGGAGGAGGTTGGAGCTGTGGCAGAAGCCCTTCCTGCAGTCTGGACATTTGTAGGGTCTCTCTCCCGTGTGGGTGATCTGGTGTCTAACCAGCGTCAAGGTCTGAGCAAAGGTTTTCCCGCACTCGGCAGACTGGTAGGGCATCTTCTCTGCCCTGTGGCCAATCAGTCCAGAGTGCTCTCTGACGCTTTTCCTGTAGCTGGTGCATTGGTAGGGTCTCTCTCTGGTGTGCAGTTATTGGTGGGTGATGAGGATGGAGCTGATGATGAACCCTTTGGTAGGGCTTATCTCCCGTGTGAGTCCTCTGGTGTTTGACCAGGTCCGAGCTCTGCCGGAAACATTTCCCACACTCAGCACACTGATAGGGCTTTTCTCCTGTGTGGATCCGCTGATGTTTCACCAGGTCTGAGCTGTGGTTGAAGCTCTTCCTGCAATGAGTGCATTTATAGGGCCTCTCCCCAGTGTGGGTCCTCTGATATTTAATAAGGTCTGCGCTCCGGCCAAAGCTCTTCCCACACTCCGTACAGCTATAGGGTCTCTCCCCCACATGGATTCTCTGGTGGTTAATAAGGTTGGAGTGGACCCTGAAGCTCTTCCCGCACTCCAGGCATTTGTAGGGGCTCTCACCCGTGTGAGTTCTCTGATGCAGAACGAGCTCAGCACTCCGGAGGAAGCTCTTCCCACTCTCTGCACATTTGTAAGGTCCGTCCCCCGTGTGGGTTCTCTGATGCTGGATAAGTTGTGAGCCCCAAGTGAAGCTTTTCCTGCACTCAGTACACGTGTTTGATTTCTCTCTCACCTGGGTTCTGCCCTGGACAGTGAAGCCTTTGGGTCTCCTGCAGTGTTTTGGAGATATTGTGTCTTGTCTTTTCTCTCCAGAGTTTTTCTGACCTGTGCTGACCCAGACAATTTCTTCCGGGTCAGAACTCAGGGAATCATTCCTGTTAGAGCATCTCAATAACAGCCCAAGTGATCTCTCAGAGGCTTCCTGCTGAGGATTTTGCACCTCATTTCCACTCATCATCCCATCATCTGCTGGAAAGAAGGAAAATTCAGACATGATTCATGTCCTTTATTTGACAGAATGAAAACTTTGGGAAGGGAAATTGCAAAGGGCTCAGGGTTGTTGGTTTTTTTTATTTGTAAAAAGTGTTGATAAGCTTGAAAATCAGGATATGAATCCCACAAAACTCTTTCCCAGAGGCAGAAACAAGGACTTGGTTGGGTGCATTTTCCAAAGATCTGCTCTGCCTTTGCTAATTCACTCCCCATATGAAATTAACAGGATCACTCATAGAGCAGTAGCACTAACTCATTAGATATGTTAAATTCACTTCATCCTCTCACAGCACAGCACTAGGGTTTGATGATAGATCAAATGGGAGCTGACTAAAGAGGTTGGGGAAAAGGAGGAAAATGTGGGAAGGTGAAAGGGAGGCAACCTGTGAGTAGGAGAGGAGAGAGTGGGGAGCAAGAAAGCAGCAAATGAACAAAAGAAAAAAGGGGACACCACATGGGGAGGTGGGAGAGAAATTTAAGTAATTGCACACAGATCAGAAAAAGACAGACAGGACAGGGTAGGGTCAAGAAAAAGGACCAAAGAAAGGAGGGGATAAGAGAAAATTGAAAATGTGGGAAAAAGAGAAGAGACAAAAGAGAAAATAAAAAGGAGAGAAATTCAGGGATGTACTGGAGGAGAAGTTGGGGGACCAGTGATTGTACAAGGGGAGGGAGGATCAGACAGTGTGCATGGGAGGGAAAGGACCATGTGCCAGGCATAGCAGACATTATGCACAAGAGGAGTGGACAGTTTCTCTGTGTTCCCTGTCCCCACATTCAGACACCTGGATCAGTTCTATCCTCAGATACTTTACTGGGAGTTGTGCCCATGTAGCCGAGGGTAGATTAAGGCACTAGGAGTTTGAAGCCTTTTTAATTTCAACTTTCTTTTATTGAACATTTTAAAGGAATGGGTAAAAGAAACAATTTAGGGTGGGATTTTCAGAAGCACTTATAGCTACCTAACTCTGCTCCCACTGAATCCAATGGACATTTTACCAGTAACTACAATGCTAAGCACTTTTGAAAAATCCTTAAATGGTTACTAAATACAAATGCTAAATGCAATGCATTATTAAAGACTACTGTTAGTGCAACATTAAGGTTAGAATTTATACGCAGACGTCAGGAAATATAAATGCTGAGGTTCTCATAGCTATCTCTAACTCATGCACGCTGCATGTACTGTATGTTAAGGTTATATTTAACCATCTAACATTTAACCATCTAACTAGAAATCAAAAATATTGTGTCAATCAGCCTTGCAAAACTGTCATGAAAATGTTATCAGGCCATGCACAAAATCTTGCCCTTCATAGAATCATAGAATATCAGGGTTGGAAGGGACCTCAGGAGGTTATCTAGTCCAACGCCCTGCTCAAAGCAGGACCAATTCCCAACTAAATCATCCCAGCCAGGGCTTTGTCAAGCCTGACCTTAAAAACCTCTAAGGAAGGAGATTCCACCACCTCCCTAGGTAACCCATTCCAGTGCTTCACCATCCTCCTAGTAAAAAAGTTTTTCCTAATATCCAACCTAAACCTCCTAAACCTAAACTGCAACTTGAGACCATTACTCCTTGTTCTGTCATCAGGTACCACTGAGAACAGTCTAGATCCATCCTCTTTGGAACCCCCTTTCAGGTAGTTGAAAGCAGCTATCAAATCCCCCCTGATTCTTCTCTTCTGCAGACTAAACAATCCCAGTTCCCTCAGCCTCTCTTCACAAGTCATGTGCTCCAGCCCCCTAATCATTTTTGTTGCCCTCCGCTGGACTCTTTCCAATTTTTCCACATCCTTCTTGTAGTGTGGGGCCCAAAACTGGGCACAGTACTCCAGATGAGGCCTCACCAATGTCGAATAGAGGGGAATGATCACGTCGCTCAATCTGCTGGCAATGCCCCTACTTATACAGCCCAAAATGCCATTAGCCTTCTTGGCAACAAGGGCACACTGTTGACTCATATCCAGCTTCTCGTCCACTGTAACCCCTAGGTCCTTTTCTTCTTTTATCATGAGGATGAAATAAATAAAGGTATTTGACTTGACCATCAAAACATTAAAAAATACAATGACTCATCTTAGCTGAACAGAATTTTGCAAAGCTGACTTGCAAAGTGGCAGGGCTGGTATATGAAAAGAATGTGAGATATCTGGGGCACAGATTGTCTTTTTTTTATTACGTGTAGAACAGATTACCAAGAGATGTGGTGAATTCTCTATTACTTAGATTCTTTAAATTGAGGTTGGAAATCTTTCTAAGAGAGATGCTTCAATTAAATCACAAGTCACTGGGCTAGATGCAAAAACTGGGTGAAATTCTATTGCCTGCTTTATACAGGATCAGACTACAGGATCATAACGGCCCCTGTTAGCCTTACAATTGAGGAATCTAGGTGAGATGTAAATGTTTAACTTATTCCTTACCTGTGCATGAGGGTTGGCTATTTGGGACACACAGCTCTTCCCCCGTTCCATCTGAGATTAAGAGTCCATCTTCGGAATAGGGAATCCTGCTAACAGAAAGCAATAAGAAAGTATGAGTATAGCGGTTAGTTAAATGTTTAGTATAATGATAGTTGCATGATTTGAAACCCCAAGGGGAGACTAGAGAGGGGAAGTAGCCAGTTCCTGGGTCCACTCAGAACAATCAAAGGCTCCTTCTCCTCACAGCTCTTCAGAAGCCCCTCATCTGTTTGTCTCCTACCATCATCTTCCCTTCACTGATCTGGTCACAATGGCACCCCTGGATCCAGGGAGGTATTTATATTGTGGAATTCATGGTCCTGTTTGAACACTAACAAATATACGGTTTAGGTATCAGCGATCCTCTTATCCTCCCCCAACTCATGCTAGGACAGGCCCTTAGTGGAGAGGCAGGGCAATGGGAAATGGGGGTTTGCTCTCTTCCTGGTGCCGCATCCCAACATAGCAGCAGCTGGGACACTTACAGCCTTGCAACGTACACCTGTCCCAGTCCCCTGACATCAGAGAGATTCTTTGGACCAGATCCTAGTCCCTGCTGTGGCAGTTTTGGATTAACTGGCTACATGAGTATTCTCCCAGAGGGAGGGAACCCCAAGGTGAGATAGGACCCACATAGTGGCTTGTATGTCACTGCCTCCCAAGGCCCCACATTGGGAGTAGGGAGTGTATCTATGTCCAGCTAATCCTCATGTGCTGTTGCCAGCCAGTGCAACTGAGGCTTGGTCTACACTAGGAACTTATGTTGGTATAACTATGTTGCTTAGGGGTGTGGAAAATCTGCACCCCTGAGCAGAGACACTGACTTTCTGTGATCCCGGGGGTTCTCGACCCCCCCACTCCACCCCTTCCGGCCCTCGCGCCTCTTCCTGCATGCCGCTGAACAGCTGATGGTGGTGGGCAAGAGGTGCTGGGAGAGAGAGGGAGGAGCTGATTGGCAGGGCCACCGGCCGGCGGGAGGGCTGGGGGGGAGGGGAGGACCTGATCCGCGGGGCTGCCAGTGGGTGCTGAGCACCCCCTTTTTTTTTTTCCAGAGCACGTAAGGAGTTGGTGCCTATGCCCCTGAGTGATGCAGTTATACTGACCTAACTGCTGGCATAGACAGTGCTATGTTAACAGGAGGGCATCCCCCAGCGACATAGCTATCATGTCTCGGGGAAGCTCTCCCATCAGTGTAGGCAGCATCTTCACTAAGTGCTGCAGCACCGGTGCAGCTGTGCCACTGCAGCCCTGTGAGTGTAGACAACCCCTTGGAGTAACTTGGAGGATGCTATAAGCTGTACTTCAGGACTAGAGCAGCACCCAACAGGTTGAGGCTCAGGGAGGTGTAAAGGCAGCTTACACTGCTGCTCCAGGGGCACTGGGCATCAAATAGCCAGACCTGAGGATCTGGCCCCTTGTCTGCATTCAAGAAACAGCAGAGTCAACTACACCCCAGCTCTCCTGGAAGGCAGGTGTAAGGAGCAATGCCACCATCTGCTGCTCTCTGCTATTCCCCGCCAGCCATCCTGGGCACAGGCTGACCTCTGGGAGAGGCTGGCTACACTGGAGGAGGAGAGGAGGGAAAAGGTGGCAGCATGGGGAGTCCAAAGGCTGGGCCAGGAGCGTGGCTCATGGTGTCAGGTGGGACAACAAACTGAGGAACAAGATGGGAGGTTAGTGAGGGGGCTGAGGTGAAAGAAGCAGCTATCTTGTTCGAGGAGTCAGAGCTGCGAGGAGAAGCCATGCAGCAGGGTCCGGGGCTGCAGTTACTATGGCAACATAAGCAGAGAAATTCAGCAGGTGTCAGTGAGCGGGCCTGAGCCTGCAGAAGCCTGGATGCTCCTGAACAGCTCTGATCCCCTCTGCTGGTGCCTGCCTGGGCAGGGAAGGTGGTGTAGGGCTGGCTGGCGTCACGGAGTCTTGGTAGAGGATAATCAGCGGGGCCAATTGTCTCTTGAAGTGCCACTCCCTTAATCTAATCCAATGCTCTAACCCAGGGGTAGGCAACCTATGGCAAACATGCTGAAGGCGGCACGCGAGCTGATTTTCAGTGGCACTAACACTGCCCGGGTCCTGGCCATCGGTCCGGGGGGCTCTGCATTTTAATTTAATTTTAAATGAAGCTTCTTAAACATTTTAAAAACCTTATTTACTTTACATACAATGGTTTAGTTATATATTATAGACTTATAGAAAGAGACCTTCTAAAAAGGTTAACATGTATTACTGGCACGCGAAACCTTAAATTAGAGTGAATAAATGAAGACTCG